GTGTGGGGCCTTCAGAGTAGCCTGAGCTGAGGACAGCTCTGTGGAGGCCACCGTGGCCTGGCCAGGCCCTTCCCCTGGAGCAGATCTCAGGGCCTGAGGAGGACGGTCTGGACAAATGTCTGCTTAGATTCAGCCTCTGTGCAGGGGACCTTCCCCTCTTATATGTGCCTGTGTCTACAGAGGCACTAAAATCACAACACATCCTCTGACGATAAGGACGCCACCCCCCTAACATTATCACAGGACTAAACAATAAGGTCTGTGAAGGTCCTTGGCGGTGTCATGTGCCTGTCACTTCTGAGAGTCGTTGCGATCATGTCTCCTTTTATTAACACTCCTTTTTAGCCAAACCCTCTGTCCCCATGGTTTTGGGTCCTCCAGCAAGGGCCACAGCTAAGCAGACAGTCACCTTCACCTGCGAATCCCATGGCTTCTCTCCCCGAAACATCACCCTGAAGTGGTTCAAAAATGGGAATGAGCTCTCAAACATCCAGACCACCGTGGACCCCGCAAGAGAAAAGGCCTCCTACAGTGTACACAGCACCGCCAGGGTGGCGCTGGACCCTGGAGACGTCCACTCTCAGGTCATCTGTGAGGTGACCCATGTCACCTTGGAGAAGATCCCTCTCCGTGGGACTGCCAACTTGTCTGACACCATCCGAGGTAGAGGAGCCCACACCCAGCCCAAGCCTAGCCCTTTGCATTAAACCTGCAACCAGGGGGATTTGGGAGGATGAGCTGACATTAAAATTGCAGCCAGAGGGATTTGGGAAGATGAGCTGACATTTAAATTGTGATTTATATGTATAGACTCCTAGATTATTTTATAACAAGCATGGGTACTACTTTCAACATTTTTTTATTGAGACAGATAAAGGGTCCCTTTGTCACACTTGGTAGAGTGCTGTGGTGTGATAGCTCACAGCAAACATAAACTCTTGGGCTCATGTGATTCTCTTGCCTCAGCCTTCATAGTAGCTGGGACTACAGGCGCCGGCCACAACTCCTGGCTAATTTTTGTTTGTTTGTTTGTTTAGCAGGCTGGGGCTGGGTTCGAACCCATCAGCCCTGGAGCACGTGGTAGGTGCCCTAACCACTGAGAAATGGGCATCTAGCATCAACATTTTTTAAAGGCAAAATTTAAAAATTTATCATAACTGCACCAGGGATGGTGTGAGCCCAGCTCTTTGTGATGCAGGAGACCTCCAGGGCATGGCTTCTAGGGACCAGTGGCTTTTGTTCCAGGGCTTAAACTGCCTGGAATATAATTCCTAACTGTCCTGCCCACCTACCATGTACCCCAATGTGCCACTCTCATTCTGATGGCATCTGCTGTGCCAAGCACTGTGCCTGGTACTTTGCTTATTTCTCCAATAGCAACCGCAGTTACTGAGCACCTGCTGGGAGCCACGCCCCACGTGCTTGGCGGTTTCACCTGTTTTGCTGCAGTTATTACATTCTCACTGCATCTCAGAGGTGGTGCTTGTTGATTTCACTCAGTAATACCCTAATAGGTGCTACCAATTCTTGAACACCTACTATGTGCCCAGCATCGAACTTAGCACTTTTACTCATATGCAAAGTGTACCCTTAATATTTGAGCATCTACTGCATACCTAGAACTTTTCTGGGCAATGCCCTTGCCCTGGTGGGGGGAGCTAAGTTATTCAGCCCATTCTCTGTGACCTGCCAGTGCCATAAAGTCAAAGTTCTACCCTGTGCCATTTCAGTTCCACCCATCTTGAAGGTTACCCAACAGCCCATGATGGCAGGGGACCAGGTGATTGTCACCTGCCAGGTGAAGAGGTTCTACCCTGGGAAACTACAGCTGACCTGGTTGGAGAATGGAAATGTCTCCCTAACAGAAACAGCCTCAACCTCCATAAAGAACAAGGATGGGACCTACAACTGGATCAGCTGGCTCCTGGTGACCTCCTCTGCCCACAGAGACAACGTGGTGCTCACCTGCCAGGTGGAGCATGACGGGCAGCCTCCAATCAGCAGAAGCCATGCCCTGGATTTCTTTGTGAGACCAAAGGAGCAGGGCACAGACACCATCCCTGGTGAGGTTACTACAAATTTTAAAATTTTATCTTTTTTTAAATGTTAAAAGTAGAATTCATGCTTGTTCTAAAATAATTTAGAAGTCTATAAATAAAAAGTAGAAGTTTATAGTCAATTCATCCCCCAAATCCCATATTCCAAAAGTCACTATTGCTAAGAGTTTGGTGCACACTTTGGTAGATCTTTTGACATAAATGTATATTACAGGAGAAAAATGCAAGGAAGGGGGTCACCTATTCACGGTGTCCTTCCTCTTGCCTTCTCCACCTGACATTTGCTATGTCCCCATTATTCCTCCTCAGCCCATCCCTCCTCCCTACTCTGACTCTACCTGGTCTCTGATCCTTCCTTAACTTCCATCCATATCTGCAACCTGACACCAGCAGGGTACAGTACCTAATGTATGAAATTCAAAAAGGGAAGTGAAGTTTAACATAGTTCAGTGGAGATGGCTAACACTGGTCACAGCTCCGGCCCCTCTGTGTCCTGCTTTGTGATCATGGACCAGCAGTAATCACAAGCCCTCTCTGTACATTCACTACATGCAAGTTCCTGTTCATCTGTGATCCTCTTTCCTGCTTCAGCCCCCTAATGATTTTTACTTTTACAGGAAGAACCAGGACCTGGGGAGCAATCGAGGGGTGGGGGTGTTCTTGAAGACCTCCTGCCATTAGATCAGGTGATAGGTATAAAATCATAAAGGTAAATCCGAGTTCTAAGGAGAGAGCCACCATATGCCTCAAAAGCAAATTTGTGCTAATTAGAGGAATGATCTCCTTCAGCTGGGCATTATTCCAAAGACCTAAAATTTACCTTATTTCCTCCTCATGTAACACCAGGAAGGTACTCTGCTAAAAATCCCCTTCAAAGGCCCAGTCTCCTTCCAACATGCCCTACAGCATTGGTCTCCTCTGATGAGGCACTGCTAGGTCACCTTTGGTCCACGCCTTTGCTTCCTGGAAGAGGAAAGAGAGGACGTGGAGGGCAATTTCCCTCACAGTAACAGGGGTACGGAGGGTGCACAGTCATGTCCACTGAGAACTCATCATGTTTGCACAGGCAGATGCAGGCAAACTCTACAATCAGGTGGGCATATGACTAAGAATTTTTCGTTACAAAACCAATATTATCAAGTTCATAATATTTTAACTTTTTAAATCTTTACTTTGTTTAAAATTGTTACAATAATTCCCTCATACACACGTATCATTTAAAATGCATATACATCCAGATTTCCATAGATTTCTTTTACAACTGTTTTGCTTTGCATGAAAGTTGGTTTTAATTCATCCTGACATGCTTGGTAGAATTGTCCTGCAAAACGTCGAGACTTTGACATCTTTGTTGAATGATTCCAAATTCTGCATTTCACTCGATCTATATTTGGTGAATTGTAGCAGGTTGTGCTTTTTTAAAGAATACGTAGTCAGAACTATGTGTAATGTTCATAACACCCCATTATCATTCTCGTGATGTCTGCAGAGTCTATAGTAATATGCCCTGTTTTATCCTGGGGTTCGGGTATTTTACAATATTTCCAGCTTAATAGGCCTCTCTCAGGATGGCATAATCCAGGTGTGTTAATGGCATTTGGAATGTGTTACCTTGTTTGGAGAGTGGGGAAAGTTCTGGATTCTTTAATTCTTTGACTCTCTTTTAAGATCCTAAATTTCCCTCTGTCCCCACTTTTTACTCTTCATCTACAACTCAATGGCTAAAGAGAACTTCTTTCTTTGTGCTGTTTCCTGCCAAAATTATGCACTTTAAGTCATACCTGTCCTTTTAATCATATCTGTCTTTTTAAAATATTCCTGCCTCCTTATATTGGGTTTCTGTTGATTCTGTAAGAAATTGCCAACAATTTAATAGCTTACAGCCGTGAAAATTTGTTATCTTGTAGTCAGGGAAGCCAGAAGTCTAAAACGGGCCAGCAGAGCTGCATTCCTTCTGGAGGCTCCAAAGGACAATCCCCTTCCTTGCCTTTTCCAGCTTCCAGAAGCTTCTGGCATCCCTTGGTGAATGGTCCCACTTCACTCTGACCTCTGCTTTTATCCTCACATTTTCTCTGAGTTATTCTATCTTTCTCTTTCACTTCTAAGGACCTTGTGATTACATCCGATGCCCAGGATAATCCAGGATGACCTCCCTTCTTAAGATCCTTCACTGTCACATCATTCAATGACCCTTTTGGATCCTTCACTTAATCACAGCATTCAATGTCCCTTTTGCCATGTCAGGTGCCATATTTAGAGGTCTCAGGGCTTCTGTGCCAACCCTTTTAAATCAGGTGCACTTTGAAATCCCTTGCTCTGAAATCCCTTGAAATCTGTGCTCCGATCTGCAGTACACTTTTTCTTTTTCTTTTCTTTTCCTTTTTTTTTGGGGGGGGGCAGGATTTATTGTTGGTAGGCGCAAATGATAGGCAACACAGCGTAAGTCCTCATGAGTGCAGGGCCCACCACTTTGTCCAGGGGGCCACGATTGGGGATGTATTTGACCCCATAGCCATTTGGGATGAGTCGCTTCTCAGCACCACGTCTTCAAATTCATCTTAGTTAAACTTGGTAAAAACCCCACTTCTTGGAGAAGTGAATCTTTTGGTGGCCAGGGAACTTGAACTTGACTCTGTAAAGGGTCTCAATCACATAATCCTTGTTCTGTAGTTTAGTGCGGATAGACATGATGGCTTAGCCAATGTGAATCCTGGCCACAGTGCCCTGGGGCTTTCCAAAGGCACAATACATACCTGTCTGGAGCCTACATCGGGGACCACACAAGGTCTAACACATGAACTTCTATTGGAAAGGAATGTCTCCAAAGTCCCTTAGAACAACCCATACAAGCAACAGGCCGCATACACTACCAAGGAGGTTGCAGTTTGCAGCCACTACACAGCAGATGCCCATGAGGAAAGGAGCATGGTCGGCTTAGTTAGCTGCAGGTGCAGGATGCTTTTTCAGTATTCTCACCTATAGGGTGGATCTGATACTCCTGGAGCGATTTCCAAATAACCCTGCTTAGGATCCTGCACTTTTTCTTATGTCTGGGTGATGATAGGATGGCAGCCTAGGGAGAGATTCTGCACCAGGCTTTTCTGATCTTCCTCTTCTGACTCACAGTTGTTTTGCCATGTGGCATTCTCTCTTCTGAGAAGAATGAATACGTGAATTAACTTTTCCTTTTTTACCTTTTTGTTTGGGGAAGATGTTTTTGAGATAAGGAGCTCTGCAGCTATACTTGCCCTCAGCAACCCAGAAGTTGACTGAAGATCTTTGCATGCTTTAACCCAATTACCTGCTCCCACATCAGGGTCCTACAGCTTCCCATCAGGGCCCCATCCTCACATGGCAGCCTAGATGCCCAGAATACAACCTTCTTCATAGCACTCCTCCCCTTAGGATGATGTCCACCACCCAATCCTCTATCGGAGGATGAGAACCTCCAGTGACACCAAGAAGCCCTCTGGCTTTAACCCCTCAACTTCTCATTGTCTCTCTCCAAAGGATTGGTGTCCGGTGACAGCCCTCCAATTCCATAGTCCCTATAACTACCATTTCCCAGTTTGTTTTCAAATGTCTGATGTTAAGGGATTCCCTTCCATGGTTACCTCATCCCGGTTATCTATCAATGAGGGTTTTATCAATTGCACCCCCAACCACCACAGCCCAGGGCCAGCCTGGGGTCCACTCACCACCAGCAGATGAGGAAACAGGTTGCAAACTTGGATTGTAGAGTCTGCTCTCCCCGCCCGAAGTCCACTTTCTTGAGACACAGACTCCGAGAAGGATATAAGAAAGCAGGAAGCGTCGGGGAGTTCCATCAGGTGGACGTGTCAGAGGGTGGGAGGAGACAGGAGCTGAAGAGGGAGATGCTGGGCCACCCGGGGCTGACAGAGACTCACCTGCTTGAGGGGGTCCTTTACAGTTGTTTTCACTTAAGAGGAGAGGGCCTTCATACTTCTGATTCTCCCAGCCTTTGGGCAAGATGGGCTCACTCCTAGGAGTCACCGGTGCAGTGTCATTCTCATCAAGGACAGGAAAGTGCCAGAAAACCCCTCAGCTGAGAACTACCAGCATCCAGCAGTGCAGCAGCCGCAGATGCTGAGCTCTCCACTCCGCCCTTACAGACCCACCAGCACCATTTAATTTGTAAAATACATATTCTAGTATGTATGTTTCATTTAATGACAAAAACTGTAAAATGGCAAAGACACTAAACATGTGTTTCCCAGGACTGTGTCCTGCAGAAATACCTGATGGTGGGACAGGTGCTCTAGGTGGGGCTGGAGACCTTCCCAAGGCTGAGACCCATTCCCTTGACTCACCAGGGTTCCAGCCAGCAGGTTTCATTAGGTCATGCCCCTCGAGGGATCCCCCAGCTCCTGAGAACATGAGGCCCCCCCACCCCACCCCTGGGACTAAGCAGCCCTTCCATGGTGAAACTGCCCCCCTCCCTGCATGCCCTTTCATCATGATTCCTGTGACCCTGAGAGGGTGGACTTGTCTTGGCCCAAACAACCCAGTCCTAGGAGTCATCTTAAGGGACACCAGTGATGGGCTTCCCAGGGTTTGGAGCCCACTAATCTTGTGACCCTCCCTGGGCCTCACTTTCCCATCAGAATGAGCATAATCACCCTGACCCCTGGGTTGTGAGGCTGAAGTAAGGAACTCAGGCATCTGTACCCCTGAGTACACATCCTCCTCACCCCTTCCCCCCGGAGGATGACCTGGCAGCCTGGGATGGGCTGAGTGAGGAGAATGTGGAGCCTCTATCCTGCCTTCTTCATCGGGCTGCAGCAGAGTAGGGTGCAGACTCAAAAGCTTCAGGGCATAGATGGGCCCAGGTAGCATCAGATGGGGTAGTGGAGGGCCCTGGAATGGACTCCTGGGTAACCCCTCTCATGCCTTCTCCTGTGCCCTGATTTGCAGACCCAGCACTGGTAGCCTTCCTCCTGGGCCCCAAGATGCTGCTGATGGTTGGTGTGGCTGCTATCTATGTCCACAGGAAGCAGAAGGCCTGACTGTAAGTGTGGGGGAGAGAGAGGGCAAGGCCACCAGGGGGCCAGTGCACCTGCCACGCAGCATCAGACCACGGTACTTTACAGAAGGTGACACACCTGCCATGGTGCCATAGTGAGTCTTAGAGATGGGCTCGGTGTTCAAAGGATGTCCACACTAGCCTGAGGGTCCCGTGGAGGACGTGAGCTGGGTGGAAGGAAGCTGTGTGGTAGCATCCCTTGAAGACAATGTTTAGGTTACTTGACCTTTGGGGTCCGTGAGGCCAAAGCTATCCCCATTGTAAAGTGGGTGAGAAGCCCCAGACAGGCTGCTCTGAGGGTTGTTCCCATGCTCACCCTCCAGGTACCTGAGTAGAAGAGTCTCAGGAAGGGAACTTGGGACTCAGGATAGGGATCCAGGACTCAGGAAGAGGAGTTGGGACTTGGGAGTCGGGTTGAAATGGCAGAGCCCATCTCAGGGCCACACATCTGCCTGAAACGGACATCCCAGGAGGAGACCAGCACTGGGGACATAACAGGCTCTCAGGAACAATGAGCAGAGAGATGATTAAATGTGGGTATGTTTCTCCTCAGTGCCTTCTTTCCTCCCCTGTCACGTGGGACCCTCAGTCTGCTGCCTCCTTCCTTCTGTGAGGGACTCAGCCTGAGAGAAGAAGCCAGAGAGAACCTTCCACAGACTTGGCTCCAAATGCCTCAGGCTCCTGGGTCAGCACAGTCCGTCCGTCCTTAATGCCCAGGGCCAGGTCTTCTTTTGTGTTCCTGAATGGGTCAGGGGATCAGGCTGGAGGACTGACTTGTGACATCTCCCTTGAAGGGGAGAAAAAAGCCTAACATAAGTGCCTGAGAACAGTCTCATCCATCACCACCACAGGACAAGCCCTATAGCAAGCTCCCGACCAGGCTCTCAGGGGTTTCTCTGTCTCTAGATCCCAGCCTACCCGAACTGCCCAGCCATGCTGATCTTTTCCACTGCCTCCTGAATACTGAAGGTGGGAACCTCTATCTACCTTAAGAGGAAAAATTATTCTCCTTCCTCTTTGCCTAAATGCCCTACTCCTCAAACTCAGAATCGTTTTCCGTCCTGTGTCTGTGATGGAAGCACCAATTTGTCTGTCACCTTGTGTCCTTCCAGTCCTCTGGCTCATGGTGGCAATGCTGTGACAGTCTAAGAGCCTTGGAGTTCATTTCTTTGTTCTTTACACCTCATGTTCAATTCTGCCTTCAAAGTGCACACGTCCACTGGTGAAATGTTCAATGTGAACACAACTTTAAAAGGGGAGCAAAGAAGCCTGGTTAGTGGTACATCTCAATTTCTGTAGTGTAAATACTCCCAATGTGGTCAATTTCAAGTTACCAACAGCTTAACAGCCAGACTGAAAAATTGAAATCTTACAACAGCCCCTAGGAGCCAGTTGAAGCCTGTTCCATCACTCCTCTGAGTCACATCCATAACCTGCACACTTTCTCCCCCCTCTCCACCCTGTCCCAGCCAGCATCATATGTTATCAGCACCAAAATGAGAACTGCTTGCGTTTGTCTGTCTGTCTCCCCCAAATAGAATGCCAGTCCCAACACGGAAGAGACTATATGTATCCTCAGTTTGCAAAACGTGGTTGCCATGTAATAGGCCATCAGATATTTTAATAAATAAATGACTATGTCATTGAGGCCATTGGTTTCTACTACATGACGGATTTCATTCCCATTCGGTCACCTCACTTGCGAGTTATAGTCCCAAGCTCTTTCTTTAAAGACTACTCTTTCTTCTTTCTTTTTAAAACATCCCATCAAAAATTCAACATCCTTCAGAAAATAAGAAAGTGCTAAAAATGAAAAAACAAAACTATGCCCCCAAATCCCCAAACCCAAGGATTGATTGGAGTTTGTCAACCAATTGAAAGAGCTCCCAGTGGCCAAAGTTGGAACAATTTCAACAACAAAATAAATAAAATAGCATTGGGTGATAACCCACAATATAAAATAAATATCTATGAATGCATAATAACATAAATAAATTATTGAATAAATTAATAAATGAAGGAGAAGAGAAAATATCTGTGCAGAGGAGTCCCAGATAATTTATGAGTGTCCTCCACCCTCTTTTCCTCAAGCATGAGCTGTGCATAGTGATTTCCTTCCCAAAAGGGCAGTGAGGAAATAAAGGAAAAAGTAAATTGACAGTGTGGAAATCTGACAAAGGCAGTGATCATGGGTTCATCAACAGTCATAGATAAACATCAATAATCATAAATCAAGTCAATAGCATGTATTCCTGATATGATATGACAGAGACACTCTTCCTCGGTCACCCGGCTCTCCAAAACTCATAACCCCCATCTAATCATGTAAAAAGGATCAAACAAATTCCAATAGAGAGGCATCCTGTAATATCCTGCTCAGTATATCTCAAACCTGGCAAGGTTGGCTCAGCACCTGTAGCTCAAGCGACTAGGGCTCCAGCCACATGCACCGGAGCTGGCAGGTTCGAATCCAGCCCAGGCCTGCCAAACAGCATTGACAACTACAACCAAAAAATAGCCGGGCATTGAGGCGGGCACCCGTAGACCCAGCTACTTGGGAGGCTGAGGCAAGAGAATGGCTTAAGCCCAAGAGTTTGAGGTTGCTGTGATCTGTGACACCACAGCCCTCTACCGAGGGTGACAGCTTGAGACTCTGCCTCAAAAAAAAAACCTGGCAAGTCACCACAATCAAGGAAAGTCTGAGAAACTGTCACAGCCAAGAACCTAAGGAGATATAACAAGTAAAGGTAACATGGAATCCTGGAACAGAAGAAGGACATTAGGTACAAACAAAAGAAATCTAAAAAACCTACAAACTTTGTGCAATCATGATGTATCGATGGGTTCATTAATTGTAACAAAGGTATCATACTATTACTAAGCTGTTAATAATAGGGGGGACTATGTGGGAATATATGGGAACTCCATATTATCGTCTCAATTTTCCTATAAATCTACAACCATAAAAAATTATGTCCAAGAAAATAATTCAACATCTTGTCTCCAGCCGGGTTTCTTTGCCTCTTGTACCCCCTTGGGGAACAATTCCAGGAAATACATTGTGGGGAGACTTCGCTAATACTCCCAGGTTTAATCTCACTTCACAGGCCTGAGGTTTCCTTTCCTCTGATCCTTTTTCCGTCCCTGACCAGAGCTTACTCCAGACCCAGGCACTCAGAGATCCCCAGGGAAGCTGCTTCTCAGTCCCCCATAACATTTGACCTAAATTTATCCTGTTAGTAAAGCACAGACGAGACCAAGTGTGGTCAGAGAACTTTGGGTTTCTCAGGTGGGGTGGGTTGTGTGGAGGACCTGACGGTGGGTGAGTGAATATGCATCCTGAGCCCCATGGTTCACAGGAAGAAGAGGTTCCTAAGGGGACCATCGTGGACGTGGTGAGGCACCAGACTGCAGAAGATCATCCTCAGCTCCCAACCTTCCTTGGGATTGCCTCAGCTGAAGAAAGCCACCTTGCTTGGGTCATGTCTGGGAACAGGCTACACCCAACAGCTCATCAACCTGGTGGTATAAAGGTCCTGCTCTCTCACCTCTGCTCAGAACAACTCTAAAGACACATCCTGGTACCAAGCTCTGTGTGAAGCCAGCTGAGGTCTTCACTGAGACTTCACTGCAGCTCAACTTCTCCTTCTATCCAATCCTACTTCCCTAAAAAGCATCCTAAAAGTACTCTTTGAAAAATGACCAGCTTGCTCATCTTGAGCTCAGAGTCTGTCTCCTAGGGAACCCGACCTGGGAAAAAAAGGTAGGTATCAGAAAGGTACTAGGTATCAGAAAGGTGGAGGAGCAAGTCCATCATGGAAGGGTGGGTTGTGTCTGTTACAAGAGCAAAGAGAATCCACAAAAGCATTAATGAAAGAGAGGGGTGTAATCAGATGTGTGTTATTAAAAGACCACTCTGGCTGAAGTAGCAGAAAGAGATTATGGGGGACCAATAGTTAGGAGGTAGTTATTTTCATTCAGAGATGATGATGGAGATGGAGAAAGAGATTTAGAAGGTTAACTGAATAGGCCTGATAGGGAGCGATCTGAACAGATGAGGGAGGATGTAAGATGTGGGCTCTTCCTGGTTTGACTAACTGGGAGGATGATGGTGTGGAGTGGGAGAAGACTAGGTCCATGAGTGCAGACGTCAGATTTGAATATTTGAGGTATGCAAATGAAGATGTCAAGAAGACTGCAGAATGTATGAATCTGCATCATGGGCTTAGGATTCCTCAGCTACTGGAAGGTGGATTCAGGATTTGAACCTCTATTGCATCTGCTTCCAGAGCTGGTGCATTTGGAACCCATTAGTACTCACCCTCCAAGGAGCTTAGAGTCTATTGGAAGGTGAGAAGAGGTGGGGGAAGTGTGGGATGATGAAAGCTAGGGAAATGCTCTTGTCCACTTCTCAGCAGGCCCATGGATGGACATCCCTGCATGGGATTCCTCCGTCCACAACAGCAGGATCGGATGGTGACATCACAAGGGGAGGGGTGTCTTGTCCTCTCACAGAGGATGTGCAAGCCTTGCTCTGCAACCTCCTGTTCTAACACCTCTCCTGGCCCTGATGTCTAGTCAGACCCTGAGGAAGAGGCAGGGGTCATGAGAAAGCAATGGGGAATAGCCCAGATGCTCTGGCACCAGCCAAGTACAGACTGAGAGTCCCTGAACACAACCTTTGTGCTTGAGAGGAGAGCCCATCCCAAAGCTGAGAGAGGCGGCCAACTGGCTTGGTCTTCCCTGTTTCATCTGTCCCTCCACTCCCTCCCAAGAGCTGGCCCAGGCAGACCCAGCCCAGACGGGAGAGGCAGCCCTGCCTCTCCCAGGTGTTTCCAGGCACATTGCTCTCTCTTGGAGAGAACTGCCCATGGCTTCACCTTCCCTGAAGAGTTCCCCATCCTGTAAAGTACAAGTCACCACCTCTTGATTCTTCTCCAGGAAGGAGAAAGGACAAGCCTCCTGGAGATCCACTGAAAAGCC